AGTATTTGACATGTTCACTTTCTTTGTTAGAAAAACTCAGAAACAATTAGGAGATCAACTTGCATCAATTAGGTCTGATCATGGTACTGAATTTGAAAATGCTAAATTTGCTGAATTTTGTGATGTGCATGGCATAGATCATAATGTTTCTGCCCCTAGAACTCCACAACAAAATGGAGTAGTTGAAAGAAAGAACAGGACTCTTGAAGATATGGCTATGACTATGCTTCTTTCTAGTAAGCTGCCCCATAGCTTCTGGGCAGAAGCTGTAAATACTGCATGCTATATCATAAATAGGTGCATGACAAGACCTCTAGTAGAGAAGACTCCCTATGAGTTACTTAAAGGGAGAAAACCAAACATATCCCATCTTAGGGCATTTAGATGCAAGTGATTTGTGCACAACAATGGTAAGGACTTCATAGGTAAGTTTGATTCCAAAAGTGATGAGGGAGTATTCTTGGGATATTCTTCACATAGTAAAGCTTATAAAGTCTATAACAAAAGAACTATGTGTGTTGAAGAAAGTGTACATGTGGTTTTTGATGAAACTAACATTCTTTCTGAGAGACAGGAATAGGATGATAAAGCAATTAGGCTGGTTAAACACTTAAATGAAACCACAGCCCAGACTGAAGCATCTCTGGAGGAAGGAACAGGTGATGGAATAGGTTCACCTATCCCCGACAACATGACAGGGGGAATAGAACAAAATAATTCTCAAACTTCAGTGGAACCTGTACCTAAACCTGTTCCATAGCAACAAAACATTGAGGGAACATCAAGGGGTAACCAGTTGGTTGTGAAACCTTACAGATATCAAAGTTCTCATCCTATTGAGAACATTATCACCGATCCAACTTCTGGAATCAAAACCAGATCTTCTTTAAAGAATCTTTGCGCTTTTGATGCTTTCTTATCTCTTATGGAACCTAAAAATGTTGTTGAAGCTTTGCAGGATGCAGACTGGGTAAATGCAATGCAAGATGAACTCAACCAATTTGAAAGGAGTCAAGTTTGGCATATGGTACCAAGACCCTTGGATAGATCAGTAATTGGCACTAAGTGGGTCTTCAGAAACAAACTTGATAAAGATGGAACCGTTACAAGAAACAAAGCAAGATTGGTGGTTCAACGATATAGTCAGGAGGAAGGCATATACTATGATGAGACTTTTGCCCCAGTGGCAAGGCTGGAAGCTATAAGGCTCCTCATAGCCTTTGTTACTTACATGGAATTTACCCTTCACCAGATGGATGTCAAGAGTGCCTTCCTAAATGGATATTTGAAGGAATAAGTGTTTGTCAAGCAACCTCCGGGGTTTGAAACAAGGAGAGTCCTGATCATGTGTACAAACTTGACAAAGCACTTTATGGGCTCAAGCAAGCTCCAAGAGCATGGTATGAAAGATTATCAAATTTTTTGCTTGAGCATGACTACAGGAGAGGTAAAATTGACAATACTTTGTTCTTGAAAGAAAAAGGTAAAGATCTCTTGGTAGTTCAGATATATGTTGATGATATAATCTTTGGAGCAACTACTGATAAGTTAAGTAAAGAATTTGCTAAACTAATGGGGAGTGAATTTGAAATGAGCATGATGGGTGAGCTTAATTTCTTTTTAGGCTTACAAATTAAACAAAATTCAAATGGAACTATGATCCATCAGCAGAAGTATGTAAAAGAGTTGCTTAAAAGGTTTAAAATGGAAGATTCCAAAGAAATTGACACTCCTATTGCAACAGCTACAAAGTTGGATATAGATGAACCTGGTTCATCTGTTGATCAGAAGTTGTATAGGGGAATGATTGGCTTATTGTTGTATCTCACTGCTAGTAGACCTGACATTGTTTTCAGTGTAGGCCTTTGTGCAATATTTCAGGCAAATCCGAAGGAGTCACTTGACGGCTGTCAAGAGAATTTTGAGATATCTAAAAGGCACCACTGATCTTTGTCTTTGGTATCCAAAAGGTAGTAATTTTAATCTTGTGGGATATGTTGATGCTGATTATACAGGTTTTCTTGTGGATAGAAAGAGCACCTCAGGTATGGCACACTTTCTTGGCTCATGTCTTGTGTATTGGGCTACCAAAAAGCAAAATTCAGTGGCCTTATCTATTGCTGAAGCTGAGTATGTTGCTACTGCTTCATGTTGTGCTCAATTGTTGTGGATCAAACAAGAATTAATAGACTTTGGAATTGATGTTGGTTGTATCCCTATTTTTTGTGATAACACTAGTGCAATTAGTATGACCAAGAACCCGGTTCATCACAAGAGAACTAAGCACATAGATGTTAGGCATCACTTTTTGAGGGATAACTATGAAAAAGGGTTGATCTCTGTGGAATTTTGTGCTACTGACAAGCAAATAGCTGACATCTTCATAAAAGTCTTAAGTAGAGATCACTTTGAAATGAACATGTTAGAATTAGGGATGATTAAGATCACCTAAAAGGACCAGTTCAGAGTACCCAATGAAAAAAAATTATTTTTGGTTAGAAAATCTAAAAATTTTGTACGTAATTAGATTAATCTTTGCTCAGTATCATACTTTCAATAGTATACTCTTGTGCCATGTGTTAAAATGACTCATTAATCTCTAATGATATTTTATCTATTTTGACAAAATTTAGACTTACACAAGAGAATTATCAGTGAAGAACTTGGTTCATCAAGATAACACGGTATGTTTTCTACACTCTGCATAATTTGAAATAATAATATTTGGATCATGAGTTGCCGTTAAATACTCTCATTTTCCAAACACAATACAATTCTCTTCTCTCCCATACCCAAGCACAAAAATAGCTAACACTCCTGAAAATCCTTCATCCCCACCCAAGGAAGTCTGAAGACTTATTTAAATCTACTACTGAGGGAGAAGAAACAGTTTCTTCTGAAACCAAACATGTATCTTCTGGCCCTAAAGTTACTCTTGAGTTAATTTCTGAAGTTGATACAAATTTGAAGAATAGGTTTGTGCTGGTAGGGTCTATTGCAGGTGTTGAATACAGAATCTGGAGTAATTGGTGATAAAAATGAAAAAGAAAAAGAAAAAGAAAAAGAGAGCAAGGGTGTTCGAAGTGCTGTGAGGGGAAAGGGTAAAAGAGTGGTTGATTCTTCACCCACTCCTGCGAGTTTAACCAAAGACACAGGTGCAATGGTTGTTTGGGGAGAAAAATCTGCTGGAGTAAAGGAGAGTGTAAAGAAAACAGGGGGAAGTGCGTCTGGTGAAGCCACTGAAGGGCTGGTTCAACTTGAAAAAATATAGATGAACCTGTTTCACCTGAACAGGAAACCCTCGCAGACCTACTGAAGAGAGTGGTTGAAGGTTATAATCCAAAGAAGAAAGGGAGGTTGGTACAAGCAAGGATCATTTTGGGGGCAAATACGCTGTTGCTTGTGACTATGAAGTCCATGTCACTCCTAAAGAAACTGGTTCATCTAAGAAGGTACCAGTGAATAGCAAGGTGCGAGTCTTGGTGCAAGAAAGTGGGGCTAAGGATGCTGAGATTGAGAGGCTGAAGAAAAGGTTGGCTGAGGTAGAGTCTGAGAGAGATGCTCTCAAAACTGAACTAGCAAGGGAAAAGGAGAAGAATGATGGAATTCTTCAAGACATGCTGAAATTTCTCCAAGCCAAAAACCAAGCCCCCAGTTCTTCCAAGCCTTAAACTTCTAGCCCAGTGTAGACCTTTCAGTGACCCAGTTTGGGATGTTTTTTGTTTGCTCATGTTTTCAGTATTTTTATTTCTTTTTATGCTTTGTGGAAGAATCGTATCAATCATCAATGAAATTCACTGTTTTTGCTCTAACTGTTTATTTATTTTTCTTTGATGGTTAAAATTCTTAGCTTGATCTATGATAATTAATCCATTATTGCATTTAAAGTAGCCCCAGTGGCCATGAGTAATTTTTAAAATCTGGTTATTTCACATTTTTATGCAACTTTTCGATGATGCCAAAAGGGGGAAAAGGTTGTGCTTTACACTTTGAACAGTGATGTTTATAACCTAATAAACCCAGACCTTGATGATAAGTGATAAAAAGGAAAACTGTGTCTAACATTGTGTTGATGTTGAGCTAAGTTGAAATAGGGCCTAAGCTTATGGAAGCAAAGAATGTGTCGTCAAAGCACGTGATATGCACATGCAGGAGATAAACAAAATCTGGCATAATAATAGATATCTCCTGATCGAAAAAATTGCATAATTGATAAGGAGAAGAACTCCTTACTCAACGAGAACATTATCCAAGATAAGGAAGGAGTTAGGAGTTGAGATTAACTAGAACTCTTCCACCAAGGAAGAGTAGCATTAGAACTCTAGTTGCTTTCTACTCTACTAACTCTATAAATCGCAGGAAGTTCTCATTCTACAGGTGACGCACAAAAGCAAAAGTTAAACGTGAATTGAGAGCAAAATAGCAAGGCATTTTGCAAGAAGTTCGTGTGTGATTCAAGTGTGCGAACCTGAAGCTACATGAGCCAGATAGAAGAACTAGATCCAAGTGCTGTCTTTTATTCTAGTTCAATTGTAGTAGGTGTTTTCATATTGTACCTTTCATCTTTATCTAGAGGCAATTGTAATAGGTACTCAGAGTATTCAAGTTAGAGTTAACTTGAAGTTGTTGCAGCAGTTAGAGGGTGGTTGCCACAACGGGATTAGAGTTAATCCTAGGTTTACAAAAGTGTTTTGTTAATGCACTTTTTGGCTCAGTGATTTAGTGGAGAGTTTGGGAAAATCCTACTGGGAAGTAGGTCGTGGTTTTTTCACTTTTTGAGCCAGGTGTTTTCCACGTAAAATACTTGTGTTCTTTAATTTCTGCATTTATTATTCTGCAACAGTAGTATAAGGAACACATAGAAGAATCAGGTCCTTCCATAATCTGTGCACGCAAAAAAATGGACACCACACAATCACCCCCCCGCGTGGTATTGAAGTTAAAACATCAACTACATATCCACTGACTGACCTTCTGGTGACTGGAAAGGCAGGCCGGTCTCAATCACAAAATCCCAACAGTGTCTCTGTGGATTCCATGTGCATAAGGACTCTCATGCCAGGTGTTGCCTTCAGATATGTGACCACTCTAATAGCTGCATCTATGTGAGACTTCTTTGGAGCTTGCATGAATTGGCTAAGATTCTGTACTGCATAGCTTATATCTGGTCGAGTGACTATCAGATACAAAAGCTTTCCTATGAGCTTTTGATATCCTGTAATGTCAACTATAGGATCATCTCCCTGCACTCTAGCTTCTTTATCATACTCCAATGAAGTTAACTTCTGATTGATCTCCAATGGCGTGACTGCAGAATTTCCTCCACTCAATCCTAACTCTAAAATCAACTCCAAGGTGTATTTTCTTTGATTCAGCAAAATACCATGTTGTGATCTCAAGATTTCTATGACTAAGAAGTATCTCAGTTTACCAAGATCCTTGACCTTGAACTGCTGATGTAGAACTTCCTTGGCCTCATTAATCATGATACTGCTGCTTCCAGTAATAAGAAGGTCATCCGCATATATGAGAATTGTAGCACCCCAAAAAATTTTAAAATACTTAAGCGCTATTAAGAAAGTTGATGTGTGCTAATTACATTATTTTGTGTGCAGACGAGGACTATTAATATAATGAATATTATTTGGATATGATAATAAGTGTACGAGTTATATTATAAGTGATGTGGGGTCTAAGGAGAGCCCTAAGAACAGTAAATAGGGGAAATGGAAGGGGACTTCAAAGTCTGCGTACGCAAGCAGATCTATCATGAGTCTCCAAATGCCAATTCGAGCTGGTACGCCTCACGGACACTGGGACCAGTACCAAAATCTGCACAAGAAGTGCAGAGTGTAGTATGAGTACAATCGACCCAATGTACTCCGTAAGTGTTGAGCCTAACCTCGACGAGGTAGTGACGAGGCTATGACAGGACACCCACGTAATTAAACCTGTACAGATGGAAACATACATACAAAATAACTGCAAATAAATAATTAACAAGTACAATTGGGAGGGGACATGCGAAATGGGTACACAATACGGTAACTACAATAGGGAATAATAACAAAAATCAGTCAATAAACCTTCAATCAACAAAATAAACAAGCATAATGAATAAAACCGCACGACATCACCCTTCGTGCTTTTACTCTCAGCCTCACTATGAAGCAGTAATAATGACACGACATCACCCTTCGTGCTTTTACTCTCAATCTCACTATAAAATGATAAATACGGCACGACATTACCCTTCGTGCTTTTATTCTCAATTTCATCATGAATTAATAGATACGGTACAACATCACCCTTCGTGATTTTACCCTCAATTTCATCATGAATCAATAGATACGGGCACGACATCACCCTTCGTGTTTTAACTCTCAAATACGACACGACATCACCCTTCTTGCTTTAACACACCCCCTTACCATGTAACAATGAACATATAACAATAGGGAGATGGAATAATAAATATCAACTCTTCTGTCAACAATAGTTCCACAATACCAATCTCAACTTCAGAAACAATACTCAATTGTCACAGATAGTTCATAAGTACGGAAAGAGCGATCAATTTATCAATTAACTAGTCTAAGCATGGATATCAGGGTCAAAGAAAGAGATAAATTACAAGAAACAAGTTCCACCCGTATGCTTTAAACCAGTAACAATGCATAAGTATTCGTCACCTCACATATACGTTGTACCCAACATTTAAACGAGTTGCAAATAGGTAAACAAGTCCTAATCCCTCGAGTCAAGATTAATCACGACACTTACCTTGCTCCAAAAGTCGACTCAAAGCTCTATCGGAGCCTTTCCCCTAGAATCCGTATCCAAACCACTTGTATCTAACCACAATTGACTTAATAATGTCAAATATTACTAAAGAAATCAATTACAATGCATAAATTTAGAATTTCCACAATTTTCCCCAAAAAATAAAAAATCGACCCCTTGGCCCGCTTGGTCGAAACCTAAGGTTCGGACCAAAATCCACTTTTCCATTCACCCCCGAGCCCGATTATGTAATTAATTTCAGAATCCGACCTCAATTTGAGGTCTAAATCCCCAATTTACAAAAGCCCTCAATTCCTAAATCCCTAGTTTTCTACCATGGAAGAACAAAGATTAGGGCTAGAAATTAATGAGTGATGTTAGAAATGAAAGAAAATGAGTTAAAGTGTACAAACCTATGAATTGATGTTGAGTTTTCTCTTAAAAATCACCTCTAAGCCGAGCTCTAATGGAGAGTTTATGAAAAAAATGCAAAAATCCCGTTTTTGGTCTATTTTAAGGTCTGGGCGTCAGGCCTTCTTCGCGTTTGCGAAGGGCTTGCCGCGTTCGCGAAGTGCAGCAGCTTAAATGGCCTTCGCGTTCGCGAGTCCTCCCATGTGTTCGCAAAGGCTGCCCCCCCTGGACTTCGCATTCGCGAACCAATGCTCACGTTCGCATAGAAGAAACAATTATCCCCCTTCCCAGGTCACAAGCCTACGCGTTCGCGAAGGGTAAGGTCCCCATTGCTCCGTATTCGCGACCCAACTACCGCATTCGCGATGAAGTAAATCCCACCCAGCCCAGTTCACTCTTCGCGTTCGCGGGAGTGCCTTCGAGAACGCGAAGAAGGGAACACCAGAAACCAACAGAAGTTAAGAAAAATTAGATTTTTCCAAGAACTAAGGTCCGTAGGCTATCCGAAACTCACTCGAGCCCTCGGGGCTCCAAACCAAATATACACACAAGTCCAAAAACCTCATACGAACTCGCCCGCGCGATCAAAACACCAATTTAACGTCTAGAACTACGAATCATACACCAAATCAAATGAAATTTTGAATAAAACTTTAGAACTTCTATTTTAACAACTGGACGTCCGAATCACGTCAAACCAACTCTATTTCTCACCAAATTTGATAGACAAATCATAAATATAGTAATGGACCTATAACGAGTTCAAAAACCAGACGGATCCGGTATCAAAACCCTTAAACTCTTAATTTTTGACAAAAAGCGATAAGTCGAGCTAGGGACCTCCGAATTTGATTTTGGGCATACGCCTAGGTTTCAAATTACGATACGGACCCACCGAAACCGTCAAAACACGAATCCGAGTCCGTTTGCTCAAAATATTTACCGAAATCAACTCAAATGGATTTTTAAGGCAAAATTTTATATTTTATCAATTTTTAACATAAAAGCCTTTCGGAAAAATACCCGGACTGCGCACGTAAATCGAGAAAGGCTTAAGGAAGCTATTGGAGGCTTCAAAATACAGAAGTATGGTTTAAAACTCTAGATGACCTATCGGGTCATCACATTCTCCACCTCTAAAACAACCGTTCGTCCTTGAACGGACATAAAAAGGTACCTGGGCTGGTGAAAAGGTGTGGATATCTACTCCGCATGTCTAACTCGGACTTCCAAGTGGCTACCTCGACCAACTGACCTCTCCACTACACTCGAACTGAAAGATAACTTTTAGACCTCAACTGTCAAACCTGCCAGGCTAGAATAGCCACCGGCTCCTCCTCATAAGTCAAATCCTTATCCAATTAGACTGAGCTAAAGTCTAACACATGGGATGGATCACCGTGATACTTCCGGAGCATGGACACATGGAACACCGGATGGACTGCTGATAAACTAGGTGTCAATGCGAGCCTGTACGCTACCTCACCCACTCTCTCCAGAATCTCAAAGGATCCAATGTACCTAGGGCTCAACTTGCCCTTTTTTCCGAACCTTATCACACCCTTCATGGGTGAAACCCGAAGCAATACTCTCTCTGGCCATGAATGCAACATCACGAACTCTACGATCGGTATAACTCTTCTGCCTAGACTGAGATGTGTGAAGTCGATCCTGAATAATTTTGACCTTATCCAAGGCATCATGTACCAAATCTGTACCCAATAACCGAGCCTTCCCCGGCTCGAACCATCCAACTGGCTATCGGCACTGCCTCCTGTATAATGCCTCATAGGGAGCCATCTGAATGCTCGACTGGTAGCTGTTGTTGTAGGCAAACTCCGCAAGTGACAAGAACTGATCCCAAGAACCACCGAAATCTATAACACAAGTGCGGAGCATATCCTCCAAAATCTGAATAGTGCGCTCGGACTGTCCGTCCATCTGAGGATGAAATGTTGTGCTCAACTCAACCTGCGTGCCCAAATCACGCTGTACCGCTCTCCAGAAGTGCAAGGTGAACTGTGTACCTCGATCCGAAATGATAGACACGGGCACACCATGAAGACGGATAATCTCGCGGATGTAAATCTTAGCCAACCGCTCTGACGAATAGGTAACCGCCATAAGAATGAAATGCGTTGACTTGGTCAGCCTATCCACAATAACCCATACTGCATCGAACTTCCTCTGAGTCCGTGGAAATCTAACAATAAAATCCATAGTGATACGCTCCCACTTCCACTCGGGAATCTCTAACTTTTGAAGCAACCCACCAGGTCTCTGATTCTCACACTTTACTTGCTGATAATTTAAACACCGAGCTACATAAGCAACTATGTCCTTCTTCATTCTCATCCACCAATAATGTTGCCGCAAATCTTGATACATTTTGGCGGCACCTGGATAAATAGAATACCGGGAACTATGGGCCTCCTCAAGAATCAACTCATGAAGTCCATCTACATTGGGAACACAAATATGATCCTGCATCCTCAAAACTCCATCATCCCCAACAGTAACCTGCTTGGCATCACCGTGCCGCACTGTGTCCCTAAGGACAAGCAAATGAGGGTCATCATATTGCCTCTCCCTGATGAGCTCAAACAAAGAAGACCGAGCTACTGTACAAGGTAGAACACGACTGGGCTCTGAAACATTCAACCTCACGAACTGATTGGCCAAAGTCTGAACATCTGATGCATGCGGAATCTCACCGATTGGAATGTACGCAAGGCTGCCCATACTCGCTGCCTTTCTACTCAAGGCGTCGTCCACATTGGCCTTCCCGGGGTGATACAAGATGGTGATATTATAGTCTTTCAATAGCTCCAACCACCTCCTTTGCCTCAAATTGAGATCCTTTTGTTTGAATAAATATTGTAGACTTCGATGCTCCTTGAAAACCTCGCCCAATACGCCGTAAAGGTAATGCCTCCAGATCTTCAGCGCATGAACAATGGCTGCCAACTCTAGATCGTGAACAGGGTAATTCTTCTCATGGACCTTCAACTTCCGCAACGCATATATGATCATCATGCCATCCTGCATCAATACTGCTCCGAGCCCAACACGAGATGCATCACAATATACCATATAAGATCCTAAACTAGTGGGCAACACCAACACCAGTGCAATAGTCAAAGCAGTCTTGAGCTTCTGGAAGGTCGCCTCACACTCGTCTGACCATCTAAACGGGGCACCCTTCTGGTTCAATCTCGTCAATGGGGTTGCTATAGACAAAAACCCCTCCAAAACTCGACGGTAATAACCCACCAAACCCAAGAAACTCTGG